TTTTTTTTTTTTTTTAAACTTGCTATTTTAATCACCTTTCATTTTAGAAAACTTCTTTTTCTACTTTATTGTTGGACATTTTTCTATTCCTTTTGGTTTATTTGCTATCTCAGTAAATTAATTACTCACTGGCCACATCTTTCTTTTTACAAGTATTTGTATTGCTTTGTCTTCTATCTCTATAATACTCATGGTATGTTTTTTTCAAGTTTCCCTCTATTGCACTAATCTTATTTTCTTTTTGATGGTTTAGGTTATTTATTGGTCACAGATTTATTTTTATTAATTTATTACTTATATTTATCAATTTATTGCGAGGTTCTGACCTGTTGTTCATGTTGTTGTTATTGTTGTGAGGTGCCACTGAGTTGACTAGAACTCACAGCGATCCTGTGAACAACAGATCTGAACCCTGTCCTAGTCTGTGCCGTCCTCATCATCTCCAACACACTTGAGCCCATGGCTGCTGTCACTGTCACAATCAACCTCATTAGGGTCTAACTCTCTTTCTTGACCTTCCACCTTCCCAAGCATGATGTCCCTTTCCAAGAAATAACCACTCCTAGTAACATGCCCAAAGTACGTGAGAAGGATCTTAATATAGTGGCTATAAATCATAGTCTATTTAACAACATCTAACACAACAACATGAGTGTCCTTTGGTTCTCATTTCTTTCCTTACATCAGCCAAGGAATTTCCTCTATTCCTCTCTTTTTGTTGTCCTAACTTCTCATGCCCAATCTTATTTAATATAGTTCATATTATTCTGAGTCTGTTTTCACAATTGCTTGCTATGTGTATGAAAGCTAGACAATGGCTAGGGATGAAAGAAGGTGAACTGATGCCTTCAAACTATGGTGCTGGAGAAGAGTATTGAATATACCATGGGCTGCTAGGAGAACAAACAAGTTCATCCTGGAGAGGGTAAAACCAGGCTGCTCCTTGTAGGCAAGGATTCTGACGCTTCATCTGACATACAAGGAGGGACCAGTCCTTAGAGAGAGACATCATGCTTGGGAGTGTGGAGGGATAGCACAGGAGAGGAAGACCCTCAATGATATGGATTGACTCAGTGAATGGGGTAATGGGGGTAAGTGTGTCAGAGACAATAAGGTTGTCTCAGTATAGAGAAGGGTTCAGAGCTGTTGTACATAGGGTCGCTATGAGTTGTAAATGGCATAACAACAACATATTCTTTTTAATGTCTTGGATAAGAGAAACATTTGTGTTTCTATTTACTCTGTGTAGCATCTTCCCTAATAGTATATGCACTCGTTTGGAGTCTGTACCTTTTTTTCTTATGTTTTAAGTACTTGTCATACCTTTCTTCTTCTTCTTCTTTTTTTATTTGAGTGAAAGCTTACAGGTTGTATCACATTTTTAATCACCTAGATGTTTTCTTTTATAACATTAATCTAAATTGATGCATACCACTAATGACAATGTCTAATCAAACCCTTACTGCATGCTGCCTTTCCCTTCATTTATTCGCTTGTCAGGAGACAGCTCTTCAGAATCTTATGTGCCCAAACATAGCATGGATTGAATTTATTTGACCTTCCTCTCACATTGTCAGGGTCAAGCTGCTATCCTTTCTTCAGGGGTCACAGAAAAGGTGATGGAGCTGGGACAAGTGCTAGTCACAACTGGCAGTTTCATCAGTCAGCATAATCATGTTAAAGTTCCCTATCACTCCAACCAGTCAAGGGTGTATAACCCCCTTAGAAACTGCTTTGCATGTGGGATTATAATAACTTTCTTGAGAACCACCTTGGCAACAGTGCTTGTTCATACCCAAAAGACACCAGACACCTTGGCAAGTTCCACCCCACATCTCAGCACCAGGAAGAAGGGAGAGACTTAAGTCTGAAAGGACACTATTTATCCAGCTGCAGTAATAAATTCTTCCAGCGCAGTGAGACATACTTAACATAGTCTAAAAGTTGATATAACACCATCTTCCCAAAGATGTTTTCCAACATTGCACCATAGAAACAGACCAGGAAAAACGACTCAGCAGACTTAGGAGAACCTTTTTCTATCAAGGATTGTTACAGCTTCAGCAAAAGGGAAAAACAGTAGCTTGGATTATACTCAATACCATTGGGGGGGAGGGGCAAGAAAGCACGTTTTGTCTTTGACGTATTTCTTGATGATTCTAGATTCCACTGCATTACAAAGAAAAGGGATGCTCTTTCTGTGATCAGCCCACAGTTGTTGAAACAGAGATGAATAACAATAATAACAGTCACCATCATTTTAAAATTGCAAGACAAAAAATGAAAACAAAATCCTTTGACAACTGGGGTTTTTTTTTAATTATTATGACCGAGGAATTAGCTTATGACAACACAATTCTAATGAAAGACTTTTACTTTAAAGTGTTTCATAATATCACATTCATAAAAGCACACAGATTGTCAACAGACTATGAATTTTTCCTTTGTTTAGGTAATGGCAGAAATAATAAAGTGGCTCTTTATTTCTCCACAGCCTGTTCTCATGCCTTTTTTTCCCCTCAGAGAAAAATCAGAGTGGTAACAAATAATTCCACAATATCCTTGGGGGCAAAACAAGTACAAAGGCTGAATCATTTTAAGGCAATATTATTCCGTCGTTATTAAAATTGATAAGCCTTCCTGCTTTTATTAACCTTGAGTTTCGTGTCTATACTATGGATCATAGATGCATTGTCTTTCAAATGGAACTACTATTTTTTTTTTTTTAACTTTGACTCAATATCTGTATGCAGAACAGCTCATCCAAGACGCTGGGCTGTAAGAGGAGGAATGTGGCATCAGGAGAAGAGGAATGTGGCATCAGGATTGGTGGAAGAGTCATCAACAACCTGTGTTATGCAGATGACACAACCCTGCTTGCTGAAACTGAGGAGGACCTGAAGCGCTTGCTGCAGAAGGTCAAGGACTGCAATCTTCAATATGGATTGAAGCTCAACATCAAGAAAACAAAGATTCTCACCACTGGGCCAATTGGCAGCATCAGTATGGATGGTGAAGAGATTGAGATAGTTAACAGTTTTAGTTTACTTGGCTCCACAGTCAACACTCTTGGTAACAGCAGCCAGGAAATCAAGAAACGAATTGCGTTGGGAAAGTCGGCTGTGAGGGAACTGTCAAGAGTACTAAAGAGCAATGACGTCAGGCTGGAGACTGAGGTGCGCCAGATCGGGGCTATAGTCTTCACAATTATATACTATGCATCAAAAAATTGGACAGTGAATAGGGATTGATAGAAAGAGAATTGATGCCTTTGAGCTGTGGTGCTGGTCCATCCTGGAGAAGGTGAAGCCGGAATGCTCCTTGGAGTCAAGGATTCTGAAGCTTCATCTGACATACTTTGGGCATCTTGCAAGGAGGGACCGGTCCTTGGAGAGGGATATCATGTTTGGGAGAGTGGTGGGACGGCCCAGGAGAGGAAGAACCTCGATGAGATGGAACAACTGTGACTGGAATGGTGGGAATGAGTGTGTTTGAGATGGCTCGGTTGGCATGGCGTTTAGAGCTCTTGTACATAGGGTCGATGGCACATAACAACAACAGTATCTGTGGGGCTGAATAATGTTTTATAATATTAAGTAACAAGATTATTCCAAGGTGGTGTCTAAAGATATTATGATAGAATACTTCACTATGTCCAAGACACAAACTCTAACAGCTAAATATCAACATGTTGTTTTCGTTATGCACCGTTGAGTTGGAACTAACTCATAGCTGACCATTCTGAGGGCTTTTCAAAGGCAATATAATTGCACAGCAGCAGATTCCATCTCTTTCTCTAGAAAGGCAGTTGGTAGATTCAAACCATTTGCCTTCGACTTCGCAGTGAAACTCCTTATCACTAGGCCACCAGAGGTCGCCAAATAGTAGTACACTTGAAGAGAATTTCAGTTTGTGGCTCTTTTAACAAATTATCCCCTTCCCCATATTCCTGGCTTTAAATGCAAGGTGACCCAGAGAGTTAAGTGTTGAGATGCTAGCCATAAAGGTGGATGGGTCAAACCTACCAGCAGGAGGAAAATAAGGCCATTTCCACCTGGACAGATCCATACCCTCAGAAGCCCCATGAGGCCAGTCCTACTATGTGCAATAGAGTCACCAACGAGTCAGAATTAGCTCAACAGCATTGAGTTTTATTTGGCTTAATGAAGATTACAGAGAAAAGTAAAAGCAACTACCTTGGGGTCCATGACATCATCACTTGGTTACTCATGTTTTCTCTTAAGGGAGGATTGTGCATCTGTTCCTTTAAAATGACCTTTGCTTTTGTTATATAGCTAGATTTTACCCAAACACACATATACATTTTCAAATAATGTTAGTAATTATTGTACTTATTGGCATGACTGGATGGATGGATGATAGATAGATAGATAGATAGATAGATAGATAGATAGATAGATAGATAGATATGAATGGGAGAGAGAGAGAGAGATTGATTCAATGAAAAAGTAATGAAGACAGCAGTTCTTGGAGTTGTCCCATTTCCTCTCAGTCCACAGTTGCAGCTGGTGACGTATTACATGTCTGCCCTATACCAGAGGCCAGCAAAACAAAAATAAAACAGCCCAGTTCTTAAGAAACTTCAAAGATGAATGCCCCTGACACTGGCACAGTGCGTGTTTGTGACAATAAAGACGATTCTGGGAAATGTGAACAACGCAAGAGGACCTCAGCGGAGGAGAAGGGAGTCAGTCTGCCATCTCGTCGTGGCTGCCCCCCCGCCTGTCAGAGACACCCCGACACCGGAGACTCACCCTTGTAAAATGTGCAGGATCTGCTTGATGCCTCCCCAGATGCGGATTTCCACGCTGGTCTCCGGGTCCTCGCACACCTGCACCAGGATCCAGACGACGCTCCAGAGCAGTTTCAGGTGGTCAGAGTGGAGCAGACTCAGGAGGACGGGGATGCCCTCGTAGAGCTTCACCTGCTCTTTCACCTGAGGCTCGGCGCAAAGGAGGCGGAGTAACTCGGCAGTGAGCCTGCGCAGGGGTGGACGGGGTGAAGGGCAGAGACACAAGGCTCGTGGGCTAGTGACTTTCTATTTGGACATTCAGTGCTGCATGGACTAAGATTCCCACATTCTCTTAGTTACTGATCAAACTTTTTCTGAAAAGGAACCAATAGTTAGCCATGTCAACTTTGTGGGAGCTCTTGTGGCCAGAATTTGAGCTGTCAACTCTGAGGCATACAGTTCTAGTCCCCCAGGTGCGCCAAAGGAAATATCCTCCCATGAGATTTACAGCCTCTGAGAACCTGCTGGGGGTCAACTATGAGCTGGTTCCAACTGAACAGCCCACAACAATGACAACATCACAGTTACTCATCTCAGGCCTTGTAACAGAGATGTCGCCTTAGACAACATGTAATTGAACGAGCCTGGCTCTGTTCCAACAAAACTTTATTCATAAAAATGGACCTAAAGTCAAACTTAACCTCCAGGTCATAATTGCATGACTGCTGTTTTGTCATATCCTCATCGCTTGATCCTAAAAATGTACCAAACAGAAGGTCGGTTTTCAGGAGCTATGAAGGGTCTTGCATTACCCTAAAGACCAAGTGGGAAAAGGGGTCGTTTTCTAGTGTCCATACTTTTACCATGCAGTTGCAGAAACAAGACAAGCACAGGATGAAAAAGAAATACTGCATACTTGATAGAATTAAATTAAAAGTAACGGTGGTATAAGACAAGTTCAGCCGAACTCTGAAAAGTGATGATGTTGAATGGTTCAGGGACTCGCCCTCTGCCCACGCGTGTTTACCATTTCTCCAAGCCTCCAATTAGAACACCCTCTATTTCCACTCTGTTTCTCGCTCTGCCTTCTGAGAACCCTGGGAGGATCCCTTGCTCTGACTAGAGATCTCTATTCTACGCCACTTGGAACACCCTGTGTGCCCATCACCACACAACTTTCAACACTAGAGCAGACTTGCTGTCTGCATGCTTGCTGCCCTGCACATCTTTGGATTTCCAACAACCAAAACCTAATCTGGCACTTTTTTTAAAAAAATGGCAAATCTCAGATTGCCATTGTTGTTGTTGTTGTTATGTGCCGTTGAGTTGCCTGTGACCCATAGCAACCCTATGTACAGCAGCTCTGAACCCTGCCCTGTCCTGAGCCAGTCTCACTGATTGTGGCACACCTACCCCCATTGCCCCAGTCACTGAATCAATCCATCTCATCTGGGGTCTTCCTCTCCTGCACTGTTCATTCACCCTTCCTAGCATGATGTCCTTTCCCAAGGACTTGTCTCTCCTGGCCATGTGCCCAAAGTGTGTGTGTGAGACAGAGCACCAGGTCCAAAAGTCTAGTGATAAATTAGTTTGTTAGAGAATCTAAGGGTATTCACTCCTCCCAGAGCCCCAACACTTGATATTCGTCTCTTTAGAAAATTCTATGCACAGCCATGTTTATCAAGGCTTTGTTCATGAAAGCAAGGAGTTAGAAACAACTAAGTGCCCATCAACAAATGAATGGATAAAGAAGCTGTGGTACATTCACAAGATGGAATACTATGCTGCATTGAAAAACAAGGAACTCATGCAATATTACTCAAAATGAATGACCCTGGAGGACATTATGATGAGTGAAATGTCTTAGTCACAAAGGGACAAATATTTTATAATAATGCCACTGTTGTGAAGCAGGACTGGCCTTGGGGTTGGGGGGAGACTGAGAAAGATGGGATAAATAATGTATACTGCATTGAAACAGATGAGGGAGAAAATGGTTTAAAAGGGATATGTGATTAGGTATTACTGTCCTGACAGGAGTCCAGAACAAAGGTTGCATAATGGAGTGAACCTGGGGGGAGTAATTGTAAAACAGTGGGGGAACTTTTATTTTTCAAAGAGAAGAGTGTATTGGGGGCTGGGAGGGATGGGCAGGGAGAAAAGTGCAACAATAAATGAATGGAAATCCAAAGTCTCTGTAAATTTTCATTAAAATTAATAAAAAGACATTTTTTTTAAAAAAACTGCTCTGTCAGAAAGGACTCACAGCTGACTCTCCACTGGGTGGGGTGGCTGTGGCTGTCATTTGTGGGAGGACATTGTCCTGCCCTCTCCCTCCAAATTGCTGTCAGATTCAAACAGCCAGAGAAGAGAAGCCTTTGGGTTAACTGCAAAACTCCCAAAAGACCACACCACCAGGGCCTCCTGATAACCACTTAGACACGGGAAGTCTTCACTTCCATTAAAAAATGAATCTAGCATGCACATCTATGTTTATTGCAGCTTTGTTCACAATAGTAAAGAGCTGGAAACAACCCAAGCGCCCATCAACAAACGAATGGATAGAGAAGCTGTGGTATATTCACACAACGGATTACTATGCAGAGTTGAAAAACAAGGAACTCATGAAATATTATGCAAAATGGATGACCCTGGAGGACATTAAACTGACTGAAATATCTCAGTCACAAAAGGACAAATATTGCATAGGGCCACTGTTGTAAAATGAGACTGATATCAGGTTGAAGGAAGACAGAAAAGAACGGGAGGAATGATGTATATTTCTTTGAAACAGATGAGGGAGAGAACGGTTTAAAAGAGATATATGAATGGGTAATCTTGTCATTATAGAAGTCCAGAGTGAAGGTTGCATAGTGGAGTGGCCTGGGGGGGAGGGGAATTGCATAACAATGAAAGCCTTTTTCTTTTCAAGGAAAAGAGTGAACTGGAGTGGGGGCAGGGAGAAAAGTACAGCATTACCAGTGACTGGAAACCCTAAGTCTCTGTACACTTTCATTAAAATTAAGAAAATTTTAAAAAAACCCAAAAACAAAACAAAACAAAAATGAATCTAGCTTCTGTTTTGAATGATAAAAACAGGTAATCATGGAAAAATTGGGTAAAATTTTAAAATAAGTTTTCATTTATTTTATTATGTCTAAAATAAAATGTATTTTAGAAATATGCTTCTTTGGTAGTTGCAGCTTTTGTGTTAAGCATTACAGAAGCCACTTTTTATGTAAATATGAGGAAAACCATTTTGTTCTGATGGCCATTTTAAGAAATGTATGCCTCCAGGGAGTACTGGTGGCACAGTGGCAAGAAGCTGCACTATATAATCCCAGAGGTACGTGGTTTGGATCCATCAGAAGCTCTGGAGAAGAAGGAGGGAAAATCTCCTCCTGTACCAGTCAGATCCAGTTTGATGGTACACACACACACAAAAAATAATAAAATAAACTTTAAAAAAGAAATGTATGCCTCCAAAGGGAGACATATACACCATGTTTATAGCAGCATTATTCAAGATCACAAGAACATGGAAACAACCTAAATGTCCAACCACAAACGAATGGATTGAGAAATTATGGTACATTCAACAACGGAATACTGTGCAGCACGCAGGAGCAATGATTTTGCAAATCACTACCTAACTTGGGAAGGACTGGAGAGCATTATGCTAAGTGAACTAACTCAGTCCCCTAAGGACAAATACTGTATAAGAATATTATTGTTGAAACAGATAACTATTAAAATGTCTAAGAGGATCTAAGGAGGGAAAAAGGAGAGTAAAGAGGGGAGGATGGGGGGAGGTTAACACAGGATCATATAATTTAATGGGTAGAAGGAGAGATGCGTTAAAGAAATGGGAAAGATCTGGTGTGAAAAACAATGTATACAAACTTTATAAGTAAAACAGTGTAAAATAAAAAAATTATTAAAAAAAGAGAGATGCATGCCTCAATAATTTTGGCAATAACATGTTTTGCTAAGCTTTATGTTCTAGTACAAGCTGACCCAGCTTGGTTAGCACTCCGAGACTATATTCTGCACCTGGCCCAGAGCCCACAAGAAGTCAGAAACAGTAACAATTCTCAAATGTGAAGAAATCTCAAGTGTCAACAACAAAGAACTTTGTGTAACCCCCCATGCCTAATCTCTGTATATAAACCCAATCTTTGCTTCCCTCAGAGTCAGAATGGTTTGAGTACTAGCTGACATTCTTGGTCTGTGTGTTTAATAAACAACTTTGTTGAGTTCTAATATTGGCTCAGTGTTTAGACTCTCACATTTTCAGCCATAACACTTTGTTCAACCACAAACTAAAATTGTGAAAAAATAGAGCCACCTAAATTTCTTTTCCCCAAAATCATAGTATGTGAATAAGTATAATTAATAAAATTACTTAGAATGTGATTATGAGGTATTTACATAATTAGACTTTCTACAACTCTGTATAATTAGATTTATATAATTAGATTCTATGCAATGTAGAACTAAAGATAAATTATACAACTCCTTGTGGTAGATTGTTATGCAAATTTAAATTATAAATGAATGCCACACTGGTCCATGATATTCAATTAACAGTTTAAACAGCATGGCATAATAAGAATGATAATAAGCGGTAGTATCAAACACAGAGCTTTGGTGGCCTAGTAGTAAGGAGCTATGCTGTGAACTCAAAGTCATGGGTTTAAATTCACCAGCAGCTCTGAAGTAGAAAAATGGGATTTTCCTCCAGTGCTACTTACACCCTCTGAAAACCCTCTAGAGGGTCATCTATGAGTTGGCTGTCACTCAGTGGCACATAATAACAAGCAATAATAAAATAGAAGACACTTATGAGTTCTTTTTTAAAATGCTAGAGAAATTTTCCTTCCCTTAAACTTGTGGAATTATCTCCATCCTCCTTTTCTTCCCCAGGAAGTTGGTTACACAGTCTGGGTAAACTGTAAACAACCTGATTTGATACTTCGTGACTTGCCCTGTGATTGGTATGCCTGCAGCCTGCCCTGTGATCGGTATGCACCTTGCAGGGATTGGTCAATGACTATTCAAATAAAGGGTTCACAGCTTTCTATGCAAATGAAGTCTCTGTGGCCTATGGAGGAGGGATTGGTCACTCCCTGGCCCTGGTGACAGGGTCATGTCTTGAAACTATGAGCAGTTATAAGCAGCCCATGCCACCAGAAACTTGAGAAAATATAAAAACAAGAAAAAGGAAAGAAGGAGAAGGGGGGGAGGAGGGGAGTAGAGAGATACCTCTTAAAGGAGCCACATCACGAGTCAAGGCCTAGGACATGGAAGATGGTGACAGACCCAAGAAAAGCTGTGGCAAAGTTATTAGTGACACGTAACAGAGCCAAGAGCAGAGCAGCCTGTCCTCCACTGAAGAAGGAAGACTTTACCAACATGTTTTCTGACTCTTATTCCAAACTGTACCCTGTTACTTCCTTAATAAACCACTTGACTGTTAATGGCCTATGAGCTCTCTATGACCAGTACAAAGAATTATCTAATCCATCAAAGAAGCAGACTGTGGGAGGGACAGCTGGTGACAGAACTGGTTAAAAAGGTTAGAGGGTAGACAGGTAGCTCATCCCTACGTCAAAGAAATAAGCGTTAGGCTAACCCTGGTCATTACTGTGTCATCAGTTGACTAGACCTCATAGCGAATTTATGAAGAATGGCTGCAAACCCTGACTTTTCCTGGACCACCTTCTCCATCTCTGATATATTTGTGCCCATTGATACAGTCATTGTGTCAAGCCCTTTCATTGAGGGCCTTCCTCTCGTAGACTAACCCTCCACCTTTCCAATCATGATGTCTTTATCCAAGAACTGGCTCTGATAGTATTGCACCACTGTAGAGTCTTCTTCTCCTCATAGCAGGCTTACCTTTTGGAAAGCAAGTCATATTCATGCAAAATCATCAGTAGGTTTTCTACAATGTTGAGCTCACTGATCTTCTCCCTACATTCTGGACTGCAAGTGGAAAAAAGAAAATTATTAGCAGCTACGGAAAACATTTTACCATAGCCCATTCATTTAAAAACCTAGCCCACATAGAGTCTCAAGAGAGAAAAATGCTTTTCACACTAATGGGAAAGGTCACAGCAAATTCTAATATTCAATGAATGCTATATGTTAAAAATTTATTTCATAATAATTTGATGATAATATTATTTCATTTATCCAAAAGGAATCATATACTATCCAAAAAACAATGATCCATTTATTAACATTATATTTGGAAGGAGGAGTGGCATCTACTTCCTAAACAACATGCCTCCAGAAACCTTATGAACTTTGATAATTGTCAATAGCTGTAGAGGGACTTCAGGCCTTTTGTTCATAGGGTTGCTGTGAGTCACGCTCACCTCAAAGACAATCAACAACAACATATTTAAAGCTCTCCTGTTTAAAGCAATCAAACCATGTACAAGGGGATATGGTTATCTAAGACTGTTTTAAAAGGCCAAAAATATTTTAAATGGGTTTGTGTGGTATAAATAAATACACAGGTAAAGAAAAAGAAGAAAGTTTCTTTTCCAAGCAAACTAAAAGTAAAGTAACTGGGAGTTGGCTAAAAATGCTGGGTAAATATTTCTGGTCATGAAGAAAAACAAAAGTTTAAAACTGTGAATTTTATTTCCGACTTAAATTTTAAAATGAGGCTTTTTCCACGCAGTCTTCTCTTCAACTTACGAGTGTTATTCCATGTTTATCTTTCACAAAGTAGGCCTAGACAGTGGCAGAGAGACTGAGGAAACTGACTGGCTTGTACCCATCCCTCCCATTGTATTCTGTGGTTCCAGCAGCACAGCTGAGAAGCAGTTATGACACTTACCTTTCAGCTAAGCTAGCCAGCGCTAGAAGAGCGCCCAACAGAACATTGGTGTCTCGGGCACCAAGTAAGTTCACTAATGTCTGAAAAATAAAGCCAAAGGAAATGATACTTAGTGCTGTGTTACCAACCCAAAGATACACAGTTCAAATCCACCAGCTGCTCTGCAGGAAGGGCAATCAACTCTCATGCTATTTGCTGCTTTTGAAAACTCCCCAAAGGACTGTAAAATGGTACAACCATTCTGGAAGGCAGTTTGGTGCTTCCTTAAGAAAGCTGAACATAGTAATTCCATATGACCCAGCTATTCCACTACTTGGAATATATCATTGTTGTTGTTGTTATGTGCCATTGAGTCGTTTACAACTCATAGCGACCCTATGTACAAGAGCCCTAAACGCCGTTCTATCCTGTGCCAACCTCGCCGTCTCAAACACACTCATTCCCACCACTCCACTCACAAAATCGATCCATTTCATCGAGGGTCTTCCTTTCCTGTGCCGTCCCTCCACTCTCCCAAACATGATGTCCATCTCCAAAGACCAGTCCCTCCTTGCAACATGCCCAAAGTATGTCAGACGAGGCTTCAGAATCCTTGACTCCAGGGAACATTCTGGCTTCACCCTCTCCAGGACAAACCTGTTTGTTCTCCTAGCAGTCCATGGTATATTCAACACTCTTCTCCAGCACCACAGCTCAAAGGCATCAATTCTCTTTCTATCATCCCTAGTCACTGTCCAACTCTCCGATGCATAGCACGTAATTGCAAAGACTATAGCCTGGATCAGGCGCACCTTAGTCTCAAGCCTGACCCTGAGAATATGAAAACTGAGGTACAAACAAATTTGTACACCAATGTTCATAGCAGCATTATTCACCATTGCAATATGGAAACAGCCCAAATGTCCAACCACAAACGAATGGATTGAGAAATCATGGTACATTCACACAATGAATACTACACACCACACAGGAACAGTAACTTTGTAAATTATTACCTAACTTGGGAGGGACTGGAGAGCGTTATGCTGAGTGAACTAACGCAGTCCCACAAGGATAAATATTGTCTAAGACCATTATTGTAGAATGAGTATAAGGACCCAGGAGAGGTGGGAGAGGCTGGAAGCAGAGGGATGTGGATGTGCAGGGGGAGGGGAAATTTAATCATTGGGTTGTACAATTTGATGGGGGAGGTGAGGGAAATTGAAAGAATTTGTTTGAATTTGTATTCAAAGTTTGTAAATAAACTAATAGGAGGTAGGAAAGAAAACTCCCTGAAGGGTTGGCTATGAGTTTGTTCCCACTCCATGGCACTTAACAAATACTTAAAAAACCTTCTTGAATGATATCATGTTTCCTTCTAAAGACCAGAGAGGCTTAACTGTCAACAGTTTTGTAGTTGACCATTCAAAGGCTCCAATTCTTTCCAGAGAGTGGATGTGAATCACCTGGTTACCTTAAAACTTTGATAGCCATTCTTTGCCCGGGACCAGAAGAGCAAGCCAAACTACAGAACCAGAAGGTTCTCACTCACACTTGCCTGTATTTCTCTACGCAAGGGGCATTCCCACTGCTCTGCACTTCAACTCCTTACAAGGAGTCCTCAGTGGGAAGGATGCTGAGAACAGTCCCAGAGCACTCCTGAGAAGCTCTCGCGTGCCAGGAGCCGTGCAAACTACAGTTACTTTTTGCCAAAATGTCAGAAGCTTATCTTTTTTTTTCCAAGCTAAGGAACATATGAGTAGATTTTGGCACATTTCCCTCATTCCTTGTTTTCCCTGAAGCCCCATTAGTGTGTGGCTTCATTTATCTTCTCTACATTTTCAGAACCCAACCTCCCATCCCTCCCCCACACGACAAGCCCAGGGATGTTCCAGGCCAGATCTGCAACCTGTGGAACCAATACTGGGGTGACTTTTCGGTTCCCTTGATGTATTTTCCTCCCTTTATGGTGTCTGTCCTTATTTATGTTTTTTTTAACAAAGCTCCAGTAGCCTAGTGGTAAAGAGGCAGGAGGTATGCGGTTCAAATCCACCAGATGCCCTGCAGGAGAAAGATGGGCAATCTCTTCCCGTGGGCCTCAGGAAACCTGCAAGAGGGTCTGTTATGTCTTGCTTCCAATTTGCTGTTACAGTAATCACTATTATTGCTTCTTTGATCTCGTCCTCTTTTTTATTAAATCTTTTTTTTGTTGTTTCCCTTCTTCATCATCAGTTTCTCAAACTTTAGTCACTGCCTCTAATTTTTTTTCAAGCTATTTTTTTTACATTTTTAAAATTAATTTAAACAAAAGTTTACAGAGACTTAGGGTTTCCAGTCATTCATTGTTACACTTTTTCTCCCTGCCCACCTTCTCCCCCACAATTCACTCTTTTCCTTGAAAAGGAAAAGAAAAATTCTTTCATTGCTATGCAATCTCTCCCCCCAAGTCCACTCCACTTCATTCTGGACTTCTGTAATGACAAGAATATCCATTCATATAACCCTTTTAAACAGTTTTCTCCCTCATCTGTTTCAATGCAGTATACATCGTTCCTCCCCTCCTTTTCTGTCTTCTCTCAACCTCCATGTCAGTCCCATTTTACAACAGTGGCCCTATGCAATATTTGTCCTTTTGTGACTGAGATATTTCACTCAGCATAATGTCCTCCAGGGTCATCCATTTTGCATAATATTTCATGAGTTCCTTGTTTTTCGGAGCTGCATTTTTGTGAAAAAATATATATATTATATATATAAATTATATATAATATATATATATATATATCAGCTTCTCTATCCATTCGTTTGTTTATGGGCACTTGAGTTGTTTCCAGTTCTTTGCTCTTGTGAACAAAGCCGCAATAAACATGGGTGTGCATATATCTGCTTAGGTGGCAGTTATGGTTTCCTTAGGGTAAATTCCTAGTAGTGGAATTGCTGGGTCAAATGGTATTTTTATTCGCAACTTTTTGAGAAAGCGCCATATAGCCTTCCAGCCTGGTTGCACTGTTTTACACTTCCACCAACAGTGAATAAGGGTTCTAGTTTCTCCACAACCTCCCCAGCATTTGATGTTTGTTGTTTCGTTAAATTTTACTATTCTTACTGGGGTGAGATGACATCTCATAGTTGTTTTGACTGCCTCTAATTCCTATTACTTTTACCAAATCTTAATACCATAACTCTAACTTTAAAAAGTTCTTCAAATCCTAAGCAGTGCTATCAGAGTACTGCATACCTTCTAAAATGAGAAACTGTTGTTCTGTACACATGATGAATATATGATACATAATGCACTAGCAGACGTGAGGCAGTCTTACTCTAACACATGCTGGAAGGTGGCTGCCTTTGCCCTGGGATTCGACAGTTCAGCAGGCGATGGATTGAAATCTGGACTTAGTCACCATCTCAACAGTGCTGCTGTAAATATGAATTTAACCTTTTCCTAAAGGATCTGCATTCACCTATGCTTGATGTGTATTTCTGACCCATGATGGCCTCTTGGCAAGAAGCTGTACTGCAATCCTGAAGGCATGTGGTTCAAATCCACCATGTGCTTGATGGGGGAAGGACGGGCAGTCTCCGCCCGTGCAATCAGCTGCCTCTGAAAACCCGCCAGAGGGTCAGCTATGGGTCGGTTCTGACTGTGTGGGACACAACAACAACAATGTCCACACCATATGTATGATGAGCTTGTACCTCATGGTGTATTATGATGAGATTGAGTCATAAAAAAAAATGGCCTATATTCAACCATTTCCTAAACTTACAAATAAGGGCAATTGTGTATGGTTCAAAACCGAATAAATAAATCTTCACATGTCAGTGTGTGTACTGTGTGTGTGTGAGAGAGAGAGAGAGAGATCCTGGTAGCACAGTGGTTAAGCACTCAATTGCTAACCCGAAATACAAACCCATAGAGACATCCATCCAGGCCCAGAAACTCCCTGAGCAGATCTACCACTTCCTATAAGAATTAAGATCAACTCAGTGGTAGTAAGTTTATAGAAATATTGCACAAATTCATGTTTATAGACTCTGTATTTATATATAGACAACTTTTTAAAGTGACATTTAAATTAAATATATATATATATATATATATATATATATATATATATATATAGAGAGAGAGAGAGAGAGAGAGAGTGTGTGTTGGTGTTAAAGGACATGAAATATTTACAAAGCAATTCAGCAAAGTATTATTTACTGTTTGTATGTTTGCTCTTGACCCTCTGGCGACAGTCACAGTGTCAATCCATCTCATGTAGGGCCTTCCTCTCTAGTGCTGGCCCTTTACCTCGCCTGGCATGACGCCGTGCTCCAGAAACCAGCCCCTCCTGACAACATGCCCAACGTTGTGAGAGAGAGAGTCCCGCCATGCTTGCCTCTGGGGAGCAACTTGGCAAGGTTGGCTCAGGACAGCCGTTGTTTATAGTCAACTCACAACAATAATAGTTACTCTTCGGGCTGACTGGGCTCATAGTAATGGGTGTAGGCTGGTAAAATGTCTAAGAGGATTAGCGAGGACTGGCAGGGAGCATGTCTGTGAACTGAAATTGGCATGTGGATTGACTGCAAAGATTCTCAGCCTGGGCGTGAGAATGGCTCCCAGGACAGCTGAAGGAGTCACTCACCTTGTGCGCTCCGCTCATGGTGACCCACTCTCTCTGGTCTTTGACAGCAGCTAGTTTTTGGAAAATATCTACAAAAGGAGAAAAATCACTCAGTGAGAGATCCAGGCCTGGGAGGGGTGGGGCAGTGTCCACACACTCTCACGTCAGAAATACTGACGGAAGCAGGCAGAGGGCGAGTGGCGCAGAGATACACAAACGCCGGGTGACGGAGAGGCACAGTGCTCCTTTTTAATTATTCCCTTAAACACAACTAGCATTTCTCTTGTAACAATGAAATACAGAAAGACCAAAATAGAAATACAAACATTTCCTTCTCACTTAAACAAGTTCTTTAACATTTTTGCAAGATTTAGTCTTCAAAAATCCTTCCTCTAAAGATTTCGACCTGCAAAGAGAGCAGAGATGTTGGGTGGGGTTTTCTGAGGCTTTGTGGTGCCTAGGGCTTTACTACAGGGAGTTCTGGTGGCCTGGTCCACAGGAAGCCATGGTGTTAACCCACAAGCCACAGCTCTTCAGGCAGTTTGAATCCCCCAGAGGCCCTTTAGGAGAAAGATGGCCAATCTCCTCCAGAGTGATTTACAGCCCGTGTGAAAACGGCTGGGAGGCGAGTTGTGACGTCAAGTCTGACCGGCAGTGAGTTGAGAGGGCTTCCCACAAAGGAACCCTGGTAATCAAAATGTCCACACCTTGCACGCACTAGAGGCGGAAGAAGGATGGGCCTCCTGTGCCACGAACTGCCTCTGAAAACCCACTGGAGGGTCAGTTATGGGTCAATTCAGACTCGATGGTACACAAGTTATTCCATAGAGAGCGCTCTGGTGGCTTCTTCTTGTTGTTGTTGTGCACCGTTGAGTTGGAATCAATCCATAGCTGATCTTCCAGTGGGATTTCAGAGGCACTAAACCACATGGGATGAGATTGCCCATCTTTCTGTCATAGAGCAGCTTGTGGATTTGAACCAGGAACCTTTGGGATTGCAGTGCAGCTTCTTAGCACTGAGTTGCCAGAGCCCTTGAGTGGTAAGAAATTAAGCTGTCAATCTAAAGGTACGTGGTTTGAGTCCACCAGCTGCTCTGGTGGGAGAAAGATGAGCAGTCCCCTCCCGTGTGATGAAGGGCCTCTGAAAACCCACTAGAGGGTCAGCCATGCAGGTCCAGACCGGACAATACACAACAACAACAACAAGTTGTTCCTTTGGAGCTCTGGTGGCCTAGTGGTAAGGAGTTGTGCTGTCATCCAGAAGGCACACGGTTGGGATCCACCAGCTGTTCCATGAGATAAAGATGGGTAATCTCCTCCCATGGCATTTACTGCCTTTGAAAACCTGCTGGGGTCAACTGTGTCAATTCCGACAAGTTAGTTGCTCCACGGGAGAAAGACATGGCAATCTGCTACAATATAAGATTTGTTGCTGTTGTTGTTGTGTAGCCTTGAGTCAGAACTGACCCATAGCTGACCCTCCAGCTGCTTTTCAGATGTAACCATACCAGAGGGAATTGCTCCTCCTGCTCCCCAAGAGTAGCTGATGGATTCGAACCATGTACCTTTGGGTTGGCAACCCAGTCCATTACCACTAAGCCACCAGAGCACCTCATAGGAGATTTACAGCCTAGGAAACTCTCTAGGGTGTTCTCGCTGTACTGCTGGTCAGCTGACTCAGTGCTGGTGCATTAGATTAACAACATTACAGCAAATGGCCTGGATTAACATAACTGTATATTCTTAAATACATAAGAAAGATGCAAACAAAAACCACAATGAGGTACCATCTCATTCTAGTAGCAGCGGCAAAGTTTAACAAGACAGCAAGTAATAGATGTTGGCAAGGATGTGGAGAGATAGGAACTCTTATACACTGTTGGCAGGATTGTAAAATGGTAACAACCTCTCTGGAAGGCAGTTTGGCACTTCCTTAAAAAAACTGAACACAGAAATTCCATATGACCCAGCTATTCCACTGACTGGAATATACTCCGAGAAAATGGGAACTGAGGCTCAAACAGAGACTTGCACACCAATCTTCATATTAACATTATTCACCATCACAAGAACATGGAAACAGCCCAAATGCCCAACTACAATGGAACTGGATTGAGAAATTATGGTACATACACACAAAGGAATACAATGCAGCACACAGGAGCAATGATTTTGTAAACTTGGGAGGGATTGGAGAGCATTATGTTGAGTGAACTGACTCAGTCTCACAAGGACAAATACTGTGTAAAACCATTACTGAACAAGGAGTATGAGGATGGGGGAGAGTGGAAGCAGAGGGGTGAGGATAGGGGCTTGGTAATCACAGAGCCATGCAATTTGATGGGGGGAGGGTGAAGGAAATGGGAAAGATCCGGTGTGAAAAACAATGTATTCTAACTTTGTAAATAAATCAGCAGAAAAGAAAACAAATTATTTTTTTTAAAGTCTCTTAAAAGGGATATGTGATTTAGTATTATTGTCATGACAGGAGTCCAGAATGAAGGTTGCATGTGGAGTGGACTTGGGGGGAGGGATTGTAAAACAATGAAAGAATTTTTATTCTACTTTTCAAAGAGAAGAGCGAACTGGGGGGTGGGAGGCAGGGAGAAAAGTGCAATAATGAATGAATGGAAATCCAAAGTCTCTATAAATATTCATTGACATTAATAATAATATTTTTTAAGTCTCCTTTTATGCACACCCATGTTTATCACAGCTTTGTCCACAATAGTAAGGAGTTGGAAACAACCCAGGTGCCCATCAACAAACGAATGGCTAGAAAAGCTGTGGTATCTGCATTGAAAAACAAGGAACTCATGCAATATTACTCAAAATGGGTGACCCTGGAGGACATTATGCTGAGTGAAATATCTCAGGCACAAAAGGACAAATACTGCATGGTGCCACTGCTGTAAAATGGGACTGATATCAGGGTTGGGGTAAGACTGAGAAAAACTGGATAAATTGTGTATACTACATTGAAACAGACAAGGGAGAGAATAATTTAAAAGCGATATATGATAGGGTATTATAGTTACAATTAAGGTTGCATAGTGGAGTGTACCCGGGGTGGTGGGAGGGGTGCAGGGGGATTGTATACCAAAGAAAAAATTTTTCTTTTACTTTTCAAAGAGAGGAGCAAACTGGGGCGGGGGGCAGGAATGGACAGGGAGAAAAGTGCAACAATGAATGAATGGAAATCCAAAATCTCTGTAAGTGTTCATTAAAATTATTAAAATAATTTTTTTTTAAGTCTCCTTTTCCCCCCATCTTGTGGCCAGTCCAGAGGCTGCCCGGGGCCCTGCGCCGGTGCTTACACGTCATGTTGACCAGCTTGTCCACGCCATGCTGCTCGTCGCCGTAGCCCAGGTACTCGTTGGCCACCATCTCCATGTACTGTAGGGGGGACGAAGCCACAAGTCGGTTAGGGGACACTGACAGCTTACAAGCCCGTGAGGGACCAGGCGGCGCAATTCTGAGAGTGACCTGCAGGTGGTACTATAGATTCACCACCGTGCACGCTGCGTCTGGCTTTATTGCTGTCTGGCTCGCACTGGTGTTGGGGGGAGGCACCAGGCCACAGATTCAATCCACCCTCAGAGGTCCCCAAAATGACGTGTAACTCAAGAGGTTTGTGGGGTCATTTTGCATCCAAACAGAAGCAGCATATAAAATGTGATACATACCCAGTATTTAGAATTTTAATACTTCAATGTGCCCTTTTAGCATATAGTAAATATACATATATATATATATGTATATGCATATATACATATATATAATAGCCAATATATCTAATAACTAAAAAAAATAACTATAAACTATATAAGGAGCTCTGGTAGCCTAATGGTAAGAAGCTGCCCTGCAATCCCAAAGGTCTGTGGTTCGAATCCACCAGCTGCTCCACAAGAGAAGGATGGGCAATCTCCTCTCATGCAATAAACCTGCTGGAGAGTGAACTATGGGTGTGTTTTTACTCAACAGGACAGAATAACATACCAGATATAGTCAATAACTATAACACCGCATAGAGTTATTTACTGACCTTAATTGTACTATTTAAAATCACAATCTAATTAGATAATGCTATTGTTGTTAGGTACCATTGAGTTGAGTACACCTCACTAGATAACACAGATAGCAACTGCCAGAATAGGATGGGGGAAAAGCTAGCCTGATAATTCTTCACTGTGAATAACTGATCATAAGAAGGAACAGGCCTCAGAGAAACAAAAAAGTTCTGCTCTTGCAAATGGGACTTGAAATGGATAAGAAAATCTAGTTTACCAACAATAAAATTTCCCAAAAGACTACTTCATTAAACCAAGGGAAATGCTAGGCCAATGAAAATATGTTTCATATAAGCCAAAATAGAGATGGTGTAGCCATTTCTTAAGAATGAGAATAAAATAAGAGTTAACATTATATTGTCATTAAACTTAATCTCTCATTAATAATTTAGAACGATTTTGCAAGGCTGTGGAGTTATTCTAAGAACCATTCTCTTTATATACACCATGGCTTTTAGGAGACCAGACTGTTCAAGTCCAATGTCAAGCCTGGAAATTGTCTTATTAATAAATCCCAACTTTCACTGGAAGGGTAAACGGAGTCAAGATCACCCTCCCATCAGTTATTTATTATATTTATTATATTTCAGTGAGCACAGTACTTGGGTTTTGGTGATAATTTTTAAATAGTTATGAGCCTTTTCACGACCGCATGTTTCTTCATTATCCTTGCCCTTTTTTGAGGGCACAGACCTGTCAGCCAACCTGTATTTCTTTTTTTTTTTTTTTTTTTTTTTTTTGCTAACAAAAGGCCCGTGACCTTTTATAGCACATTCTCCTTTCAACAGTCTGGATAAAGTGAGTCCAATTAGTCGGAACAAAAGGTCATCAGTCCCTCCCTGTTTTACGAGTATCAAGCCTCTGGTTCACACTCATGAATCTCACCTGCTCCTCCCCTTGGCCCACAGCTTAACAAAAGGAAGCCAGCCGTCAGGCCAAGCACCAATTAGTCCTCGCCTGGGGCCACCACGGGCATAAAGGCAAGACCAAGCACCACCATGTGAACCTTACCTGAGCTAGGTTTTCGACCCCACCCAGGCTGTGGAGTATTTCCTAATAAAAGAAAGACAAAAGGATGCATATAAGAGGTGGGTTTGTTGTGGAGAGTCTATTTTATATGCAATATTTGTATGAAGTCACAAAGTGTACAGCCGGGCTGTAAGTTGTTGGGTACAGTTAAAGCAATCATGACTCATAAGTGACCCTGTGAACAACGGCGGCTCTGAGCCCTGTCCTATCCCGTGCGGTCCTCTCAGCTCCGACACACTGGAGCCCACTGCTGCGGTCACTGCGGCAATCCGTGTGACTGACGGAGCCCATTGCTGTGGTCACTCTGTCAAACCTTCTCTTCCCCTGAGCCTACCCCCCCTTTCCTCCATCAACAAGCATGAGGTCCAGTTCCAAGGACCGGCCCCTTCTAACAACATGCCCAAGATAAATGAGACGAAGTTTCACCAGCCTTTTCTTTAAGGAGCATCCTGAGGGAGCATTGGCAGCCCAGTGGTTAAGAAGCTGCACTGCCATCCCAAAGGCAAGCAGTTCAAATCCACCAGCTGTGCTGCAGGAAAAGGATGGGCATTCTCTTCCCATGCAACTGATTGCCTCTGAAAACCCTCTGGCAGGTCAACTAGGAGACAGTTACGATTCGATGGTACACAATTACAAAAACGTCGTAAATGGGAACATGCTAACAAGCTTCCTGGCTGTACGTTTATACTATATGGAAGATAAACTTCTTATAGATATAAAAACTGGGTAAAGATTAAAAGAACGTGTATGTGCTCAGAGATGCAACCTTCTTCCTTGTCCTTATTCTTAATGTGTCATCAGAAAACAGGAGCACTGAGAAGAGCTGTCGGGTATCACTGCATTCAACCCTTCAAGGTACAGAAGGAAACCAGGGCCCCAAACAGAAAACACAGAAACCACTCTGTTTACGTAGCAGTGCCCAGATGAGCATTGACACCCTTCAGCTCTGAGAGGGCTTCACACCAGTTCATTTCTGCTAGGGAGCTTTAAGAATCCTCTCTAGCTAAACAATCGGCCTATAAAGTGAATCAACCACGCAGATGTGTATACACTGTAGAAAGGGAAACAAATTTGCTCTGTGAACTTTCACCCAAATCACAATTAAATAGTTTTTTTAAAAAAAAAAATCATCTGGAGATTTGGTTAAATGTAGATTCTGACTCAGTAGATTTGTAGTGGGAATGCAAATTCTCAGCAGAGAAATGAAACTTCTCGGAACAGTTCATTCTGGTGACAAGCCCTGTTTGCTCCCCAGGGTAAGGCCCTCAGACCTGGGAACCAAGTCAAACACAAAGGACCTCTGGCCCGGACCTGGCTTGCTGACTCCACTCTGCCTTTGAACCTGACCTCCAGGTGATCTGAATGCATGACAAGGTTTGAGCTTGTAGATTATAGGATTTCTTCAAATCCTTGGGCTCCTGGTCTTATTAAAAGGACACTAAACAAACAGAAGGATCATCATTGCAAGATGCCTCCTGGTACAGAGCTTTAAACCCTCTTCCTGATAAGAAGGCTAAAGCTATCCTGCCACTGAGTGGGTCCCTCTTCGAACAATCCTGTAACTGCTCTAAAAGTGCTGAGGAAGAGAAGGGGGGAGGCTTGGCTGTGGTGAGGATAACCCGGGAATTCTATTAATAGTAAGTGCACTCAGGTTAGCCACGTGCACACCCACGTCAGACACCTGAGTTTCCAGGTGACCCGATTAATCCAGGCTGTATTGACACCTTCCTCCTTATTTAACACGGACACATGGAAGTTATTCAAAATATAAATAGTCCAGTTCTGGGCATTTCATGAGGCATGCGTACAAGAGGGTGAGGGGAAAACAACTCAGTTCTTGTGACAGGTATCGGAAATATATTTGAAAAGCAGGGTGAGAAGACGCAGGCATGAAGCTTAATCTGCACTGGGCAGTGCAGGAAAGGAGAAGGTACACAGGCAACAGAGGCCAGAACAAACAAGAGCTTCTCTTCAGTCCCAGGATGAAGAGAACAGAAGAGAAAGAGGGGGTCAGCTAAGCACTCAAATTGGAAGCCAGTGGATGTGAGCATAAAATTTGAGAGACGAGATGGTCTTTGAACAGGAGTAAAAGTAGAATTGTCATGACAGGAGTCCAGAATGAAAGCAGCACAGTGGAGTGGACTTGGGGGAAGTGATTATATAACAATGAAAGAATTTTTCTTTTACTTTTCAAAGAGAAGAGTGAATTGGGGGTGAGAGGTGGGCAGGGAGAAAAGTGCAACAATGAATGAACGGAAATCCAAAGTCTCTGTAAACATTCATTAAAATTAATGATAATTTTTTAAAAAGTAGAAGGCATCACCATGTCTGTGCCTGATGATGAGGGGATGGTTAGATAATTTGACAGATACCAGGAAGAAGGATTGGAATTGAGGAAAAGAAGATTTTAGACATGCTGAAGTGTTGCTGGGATCCAGGTGGCAAAAATGAAAACAGGCTGAGATAGGAAATTGTTAAAATCTGGGAATCCTCCATAAGAAGGTGATTCAATGTTGAAGCTTAGGAGTCAGGAAAATACCAAGGGGGGAAAAGAGTTTTAAAATCGTATCCATCATTTTCTATTCATAGTCACACTTTGAAATATTTACCACGACAGAAATAAACGCATCCAGTATTTAATATGACGAATGTGGAACCAAGGCAATGTGTCCATTGCTTTGTCCGGGGAACAGTAATTTTCTTTTGTGTCATAGGGAGTGTCTCACTAACCAAAGACTCTACCTCTCTGGAGGTTCGAGTCCACCAGTGGGCTCTTTGGGAGACAGATGGGCAATCTCCTCCTGTGGGATTTACAGCCTCTGAGACCAGCTGGAGGACCAGCTCTGTTGGTTTCAACCCAATGGCAAACACAATAAGGAAGATTTTTATTTTACAAATGTGTGGTCAAAACTGCTTGGAAAAGTCCGGATTAAAGAAAGCAAACGTTTTCACTGTGGGGCTTCTCAGAGACATCAATGATCTGCTATGTATGACATCTCTCCTGGAAAGCTGACATGCACCATTAACCAAAACACAAATTTTTACACTGAAAATTTACTAGTTCTTTGGGACAGTTTGAGGTGTGCTGCGACACTTTGGAAGGGGAGAGTTTCTCGTTCTTAGAACAACTGTTCCAAGCATGATTCATTACACACTCAACAATATGACCCTCGCTTGTGTTAGGTGCCCTTCCTCACCTGCTCATAGACTCTTGGCTTTCCTTGGGTTTCCTGTGGTCACACCCACAGGCGCTGCACCGCCTCAGGAGTGTAAACTGGACAAAACCATGACCACCTGGTGTAAACACACCCCGGCTTAACAGTTCTAGGCACTGATCTGAAGAGCAAATACAGCTGTGGACTTAGATTACAGCAGCGCCGCCTCCGGCCTGTCCTCTCTGATCTTGGCCCCTTCTCCTCTGCCACCGGTCAGGCGGCCAGGAGACGGTCACCCTGTGCCCCTGAGCATAGTGACCTGGACAGTGTCTTCTCTGGTCAACCTGAACAGCAGCTCACAATGTAAACTATGAGTGGTGTCTTGGCTTGGCCAACTCTTTGAGATCTTCCCTTTAAAAAAAACGGATGACCCTCGAGGACATTATGCTGAGTGAAATATCTCAGTCACAAAAGGACAAACACTGCATACATAGTTCCACTGCTGTAGAATGGGACTGACATCAGGGTTAGGGTAAGAATGAGAAAAACTGGATGAATTATGTATACTGCATTGAAGCCGATAAGGGAGAGAACAGTTCAAAAGTAATATATTTTAGGGCATTATGACTATCTTAAGAGTTCGGAATGAGGGTTGCAGAGTGGAGTATACTTGAGGTGGGGGTGGGGGTGGGGGTATGCATACCAATGAAGGAGTTTTTCTTTTGCTTTTCAAGGAGAAGAGTGAACTGGGGGTTAGGGGAGGGCAGGGAGAAAAGTGTAACAATGAATGAATGGAAATCCAAAATCTTTGCAAATGTTCATTGAAATTAATAAAAAAAAAGGGGTGAAGAATATAATCTAGGAAAAAATCAAACACTAATAAGAATAATAGTAGTAAGTTGTTCTGTAACATTGAGTCAACTGACTCATAGCTCACCCTCTAGTGGGTTTTCAGAAGCTGTCAATCACACAAGAGTCTCTGCCTATCTTTCTTCTGCAGAGCTACTAGAAGATTCGAACCACGAGCCTAGGGTTAGTAGCACAACTCCTTTCCACTAAGCTATCAGAGCTTCCCAGCTAATCATACATTCCTATGAAAATTATACTAAAAGAAACAAACCCATTGTGCTGACGTGGCTGTTCCTCAGACTTCACTAAAGCCACTTCCTGTCAGCTCCACAAAACCTACTCCTGCCCAGCAGCAAATCCATCAGGGCTTAAGACACTGCAGTCAGCCCTGACTGGTCACAAACATGACCAACTTACTTCTCTGTTCAAAAAAATCGTTAGTAATCCAACTATCCTACTGCTAGGGATGGACCCCAAGGAAATCAGACTGAGACATCGACAAAGATACGTACACCTATGTTCATAGCAGCGAGAAAATGAAAACAGCCCAAATGCTTATCAATAAATTAGCAGATTGAGAAATTGTAGTACATATGGAATCCTATGCAATACCAAGGAACAATGACTTTGTAAAATACTAAATAACATGGGAGATTCTAGAAGGCATTATGCTGAGTGAAATAAATCAGTCTTATAAGGATAAATACTGCATAAATCATGATTATGAAAATAAGAGGTTAACTGAGCCAGATGTGTATAAATGTTCAAAAGGTTAGAAGGGGAGGCAAAAGAGGGGAAGGGGGAAATCACTAGGATAGCAGAGATTGGTGGGCTAAGGGTGAGGAAGAAGGCAATGAAGGAAACATGCTATGATGACTTGAAATACTGGGGTGATATTAGGTACAAATCAACAGTAATTAATTATATAAAATACAATACATAATATATATGAATGACCGTATAAAACACAATGTAACAGCAATGAGGAAAAAACAAAACCACAACAAACCCAAAAAACAACACTGCATAGTCCTGGGTCATGATTCTAAATACTCTCCTGGGGCTTCGCTTTGCATATCTCTCCAGGTAAGACTGAATGGCTTGGTTGTTTTTGTTGTTGTGTACCATTGAGTTGGAACAAACACATCGCTGTACCTCCAGTGAGTTTTCAGAGGCAGTTTAATTACACAGGAGGAGACTGCCATCTTTCTCCTGTGGAACAGCTGGTGGATTTGAACTGCGTGCCTTTGGTTCCAACTACAGCTGAAGTGTCTAGATAGATAGATAGATAGATAGATAGATAGATAGATAGATAGATAGATAGATAGATAGGCAGGTAGGCAGGCAGGCAGGCAGATAGCCAGACATACAAGTATATAAGTCTCCAAGACAAATTTGTTTCTATTTTTTTCTTGGTGCATGGAATATTCCACAATCTTTGCCAACATTACAATGGAAAGGCATCAATTATTCTTTGATCTTTCTGAACTTTCAGATGCACAGAAGCAATTAAAAATATCATGACTTAGATCGGGCACACCTTAGTCTTTAAACTGATTCTCTTTGCTCTTTAGCTGTTTGGAAAGTTCCTTAAAAGAAAATTTTCTCAATGCAAAAAGTCTTTTGATTTCTTAACTGCAGCTTCCTTCAGTGTTGATCGTGAGTCTAAGGAAAACGAAATTGTTGACAGCTTCAATCTTTTTTATTCATCTATCATAATGCTGCCTGCTGGTCCAGAGGGGATTTCTGTTTTCTTGACGTTGAGATTTGAATGCATGTGGATTTGATCTTCTGCATTAAGTGCTTAAGTCTTCCTCACTTTCTCCGAGTAAAGTTGTGTCATTTGCGTAAGGCAGGTTTATGACTCTTTCTCTAATCCTAAATTCACATTCTTCATATAATCCAGCTTCTTAATGAATTAGATACCCTGAGCCCAATGGAAATCCCGGAACAACTTACCTGTGCTTATGTGAAAGCTGTACGTAGACTAAGAAGCTGTTATACAAACAGAACAAGAGAACGCTGCATGGCTTAAAATCAGGAAAGGTGTACATCGGGGTGGTATCATTTCTCCACACTGACTCAATCTGTGTCCTGAACAAATAATTTGAGACGCTTTACCACTGAAGTCAGGGTGAAAGAAAGTGGATTCGGGAGATTGACCATTCAAGAAATGAAGTGGTGAATTTAAGATGAAGGCTTACAGAGGTGGCTGGGTCAGGGAAAGGACACTTTTGGGGTACAGGAAAGCAGAAAGAGGAGTCACCGGAAGAAAGACAATGGGAAGAGAAGCGCAAATGGAAGGATAAGTCACGGCAAAGGATCGGGGGCATTTCCTCTGATATTAGAAAAATAAAGTTGCATGATAACCCAAATATTTTCATTTTCATTTTTTAAAAATATTTATAATTTTTGTGCATGTACCTTCAAATCTGATCTGACTGGTACAGGAGGAGATTGCCCCTCCTTCTCCAGCAGAGCATCTAGTGGATTGGAACAGCATACCTCTGGGATTGCAGTGCAGCTTCTTGCCACTAGGCCCCCAGACCTCCCTAATAACCCAAATATTTTAAGCAACAGACAAGAAAAATATGAAAGAGCTTCCCGTAGGAAATCTTCAGTCTTCCTTCTTTAAAAAGCAAAACAATCCAGGAAATGATGTCCTTCGATGACAACAGGATGGAAGGGCAAGGGTGGAGGGGTTGAGTGTGAGAAATATAAGGAGTAAATGGTGCGTAGAGTGGATCCTGTAAGCCTGGATCAACCCGCAAGGGGAGGAATTTATGGCGATGGTAAAGACTTGCTCAGATTCAACAGCACAAATACACAGTCCACTGCAACACAGCTTTGCTACTTCCGCCAATAGTTCTTGCCAAGTCAACGCATTACACTATTGTAGGAGAAGTATCAGGGAAAAGAGACTCAGGTCTAAGAAATAAATGCCTTCTTACGCAAAGGCTGGCAATCATGGGGAGATTTTCATTTAAGAAGGGTTTTGGTCACCGCGTTCCATAAACAGAGGAAGTGGCCACTGGATTCTTTCCTTTAGACAGCAGTAGAAGCAACTGTGTCCCAAACCTTTAAGAAATGGATTGAGGAAGGCAGTACTTGGGATAAGAGATCTGCAAACAAGAGCATGATACCACTGCCATCAATTTTCAGAAGAAACAGCATCTCTAGTATAAACATCTGGCTGAATTCAAGAAACCAGAGGAAATGAGATCATGACCTTAAAAAAATAAAATCTATGAATACTTTTCTTAATATCACATCTAGAAAGTGTTCACCCCAACTGTGACAGGCTGGAAAGTCAAAGCAGAAATAATAGTTAAAGCAGGAACAACAAGACTATACCAGGATTCATGTGGGCCAAATGGGACCTGATTCTCACTCTCATTATATATGATCCACAATGAATTGTAGATGGAAGATCAGAAGCACACGGAGCTTCCTATTTCTGTTTAAGATACATTGTTGTTCTGTGCCATCAAGTTGCTTGCAACTCACAGTGACCCTGTTTACAACAGCTCTGAACCCCACTCTATCTCACTGTCCCTGATACACCTATCCCCATTACCCCAGTCACTGAGTCAATCCATCTCATCCAGGGTCTTCCTCTCTTGCACTGTCCCTTCACCCTCTCTTGCACTGTCCCTTCACCCTCCCAAGCATGACGTCCCTCTCCAAGGACTGGTCCCTCCCTGCAACATACCCAAACCAAAAATGCCTGTGAACAATGTATGAAAACCCAATATGAATTGTAAACCTTCAAATAAAACAATAAAAAAGTAAAAAATATTTTTTGAATATTTTTAACCAACCTGATAGCATGGATCCCTCATTAACAGTCTCAGACAGATTAACACTCTTAGAAAATGAATAGATGGGGCTCGATTAACCCACTCTCTGGAAAAAAAAGAAAAAGAGAACAAGTTCAAGTTTAAATGTCAAGTGTGATGGTTCGTGAGCAATTCAAGACGGTGAAGAAAAACAAAGAACATGTAAAAGAATAATCATTTCGTCTATTTCAAGCTTAATCTGTGATGGAGCTTTTCATTTGTGGCTTAAATATTTGCCTGACTTACATGCAAAATACATATAAAATACTGTTTTTTCATGATTAAGGAGAGATCCTCCAATTTATTTGGTTCATAGGACTCTTAGTGTGGAATGTTTTTTCATGATATTCATAGGCCAAAAGAAATATCAGAGAGTTCCATTTATTCAGCAGCAAAGACCATTACGACCTAATAATTTAGGACTTTAAGAAATAATACACATCTGTTTTTAAAATATCTTTTCTTTCTCCACTTATTATAATGTTGTCCTTTTTATTATTAATTTTAATTAAAGTTTACAGAGACTTTGTATTTCCATTCATTCATTCTTGCACTTTTCTCCCTGCCCCCCCATCCCCCTACTTCGCACTTCACTTTGAAAAGTAAAAAAAAAAATTCTTTCATTGTTTTACAATCCCTCCTCGAGGTCCACTCCACTGTGCAGCCTTCGTTCCGGGCTCCTGTCATGACAATAATATGTAATCATATATCCCTTTTAAACAGGTCTCTCCCTCATCTGTTTCTATGCAGTATACACATAATTTATCCCATCTTTCTCAATCTCCCCTCAACCCCAATGTCAGTCCCATTTTACAATAGTGGCACCATGCAGTATTTGTCCTTTTGTGCTAAGATATTTCACTTAGCATAATGTCCTCCAAGGTCATCCATTTTGTATAATATTTCATGAGTTCCTGGCTTTTAATGCAGCGTAGTATTCCATTGTGTGAATATACCACAGCTTTTCTATCCATTTGTTTGTTGATGGGCATTTTTAAAATATCTTAATACCATTCTTTTTTTACATTTTTTAAAAAATTTTTATTGTATTATTTTTATGTGTACCGTCAAATCAGATCTGACTGGTACAGGAGGAGATTGCCCCCTCCTTCTCCAGCAGAGCATCTGGTGGATTTGAACCGCATACCTCTGGGATTGCAGTGCAGCGTCTTGCCACTAGGCCACCAGAGCTCCCTTAAAAGAATACTATTCTTAAAATGGGCAAAATGGCTGATGAATATGGTGGGTATACTTGACTAATCTTGGATTCAAATTGGGCACCACAATCTTCATTTCCTGTTTTACACTACTTTTCATACCATATTTCCTTTCCACCCCTGCAAGGCTCAAAACCCAGATTTCAGAAAGATGTACCACCACCAGAAAGAAGGAAATGCAATGTAGTACTGAAATTCTAAATGACCTTAGGAAGACTGCAGTGTATTTAAGAGATGTTGTGTATCAGTGAGTTTTCCCTGAAATTTTAAATTAGCCCATGGCCCTTCTGATGGTCAACGTGGCACCCTGGGACACATCAGTGCAGATTTTGGAAAACTCAATGAGAAAGTATTTTCCTTTTCTTTTTTTTTTTTAAAAAAAGAAGAAAGTCTTTCCTTAGATCCTGGGACGAAGACTGATATTGAACAGGATTATTAAAAACAAAACATGTTCTTAGGAGAGACTGAAGACTTGATGTCTTTGAGTTGTGGTGCTGGAGAAGAATACTGAATATCTCATGAATCACCAAAGCAACAAACAGATATGTCTTGGGAAAAGCGCAGCCAGAGAACTCCTTGGAGACCAGGATGGTCTCAGTCAGACTTTGGACATACAGCTAAGCAAGGCTATTTCTTGGAAAGGGACATCATTTTTTGATAGACAGAGGGTCAGCAGGATGACCCTCCATGAGATGGACTGACATGGTGACTTAAGCAATGTCAGAGTGTCAGAGACGATGAGGACAGCACCAGCTGACTGACATGGTGACTTAAGCAATGGGTTCTAGGGTGTCAGAGACAATGAGGACAGCACAGGCAGGACAAGGCAGGGTTTAGGTTGACTCTTCATAGGGTCAAGATGAGTCATACTCAACTCAACGGTTCCTAACAACTACAGAGACTAGTAAGGCAGTGAATTTAGTGGCCACAAGTAGGGCCAAACAAAGACATAATCTTGGGCCAACTCACTGCCTCACCTGCCCCTGTACCTCATGAATATCAACCACACGTACAAGGTGTCTCTCTGGAGACTAAGGTGTGCCTGATACAGGCCATGGTTTTTGCAATCACTTGTTATGCATCAGAGAGCTGGACAATGACTAGGGAGGATAGAAGGAGAATTGACGCCTTTGAGCTGTGGTGCTAGAGAAGAGTGTTGAATGTACCATGGACTGCAAACAGATTTATCTTAGAGAGGGTTAAACCAGGCTGCTCCTTAGAGGCAAGGATTCTGGGGCTTCGCCTGACATACTTTGGACATGTTGTAAGGAGAGACAGGTCTTTAGAGAGGGACATCATGCTGGGCAGAGTGGAGGGACAGCGCAGGAGGGGAAGACCTCTATGAGGTGGATTGATTCAGTGACTGGGGTAATCGGGATGGGTGTGTCAGAGGCAGTGCTATTGGCACAGGATAGAGCAGGGTTTAGGGCTGTTGTACATAGGGTCGCTATGAGTCGCAAACGACTCGACGGCACATAACAACAACAACAACAACAAGGTGTCTACACTGACACTGTGACTGTCGTCATCAGCTAAGGGCTGCACGTGGGCCCGAGTGAACAAGGTCCCAAGCACGTTTATTCTATGTACCTGCAGGCAAAGGAGACTCAAGGAGCCACAAGATGATGCAAGTATGTGTCCAAACAAGAGTGGAGAAGGCAGAGCTGAGCACCCTGGACAGAGCACCAATGTTACATCCCACAGCTATGCATTTAACGACCAGACAGGATGCAGAGAGATTCACCAGAACCCTTTGACACGGAGGTAACCATCACCGGCCTCTTAAGAAGAAACTGGAGGTATATTTACTAAAAATCAAACAGGAGGGTATAGCTGATGAAGCCAGGCCTGTTGTCAGGGAAGGGGGATGAGGATTTTTGTTTCAGACACTGAACACAGTCCATACACAAAAACCCACCAGATTTACAAAGCAGCTTTTAAAGCATCACTCTGCTGGCTGTAATCAAATGATGCTGAGGACTGACTCAAATATATTTTGGGAGACTTATTGTTTTTATTTCCAGCCAGGAATGATTTAGTCTGAACCTTGTAAAGCTCTTTAAAAAATGGGAACAAGGCACCACAACAAGATAAAGGTAAATAATCCAATAGAAAAATGGGCACAGGATATGAATAGACACTTCACCAAAGACGACATTCAGATGGCCGGCCAACAAGCACATGAAGAAATGATCAAAATCCCTAGCTCTAAGAGAGATGCAAATCAAAACAACTATGAGATATCATCTCACCCCAGTAAGAATAGCAAAATTTAACAGAACAGCAAGCAACAAATGCTGGCGAGGTTGTGGAGAAACTGGAACCCTTATTCACTGTTGGTGGGAGTGTAAAACGGTGCAACCACTGTGGAAGGCGGTATGGAGCTTTCTCAAAAAGTTGCAAATAGAAATATCATTTGACCCAGCAATTCCACTACTGGGAATGTACCCTAAAGAGACCATAACTGACATCCAAGCAGATATATGCACACCCATGTTTATTACAGCTCTGTTCACAATAGCAAGGAGTTGGAAACAACCCAGGTGCCCATCAACAAATGAACGGGTAGAGAAGCTGTGGTATATTCACACAATGGAATACTATGCTGCGTTGAAAAACAAGGAACTCATTCAATATTATTCAAAATGGGTGAGCCTGGAGGACATTATGCTGAGTGAAATATCTCAGTCGCAAAAGGACAAATATTGCATGGTGCCACTGCTGTAAAATGGGACTGATATCAGGGTGGGGGTAAGGCTGAGAAAAACTGGATAAATTGTGTATACTGCACTGAAAAAAAAAATGGGAACAAGGGTAAGTTCTCTCTGTTGCCCAGGGGAACAGACCAAGTGTGGGGTCAGAAGAGGTCACAGCACTCCACAGTGCACAGCCATTCCAAAAAACAAACAAACACATGCTAATGGAGGGGAGACTGTGACCAGAGCTGGTGTTACAAGGTGAGCATGTACCAAACAGTGCAGAGCCCTCTCACTTACTGGATTCTAGATAAAGGGAGAAGAGGGCTCGGAACCCATTCACTGGCTAGCCTGTTTTTGCTAGAATGTAGGGAGACAGGATGGACTCTTTGGGGGCATCAAGATCTGCTGGGCCTCTGAGAGCAGTTTCAATATCATCTCTCAGTGGCAATGTATGTAGTTAGAGCTGACACTAAAAGAAATGGAAATGCCTAAAGTTCTCAGTCTGCTTTCAGCATCACTATTTTGGTGCAGGGTGTATGAAGTACAGGGGGTGTGAAGCCAACTCCTTCCCCAAGGTCCAGGTGCAGCTGTCAGACAATTACAACAGTAATTGCTTCCAGCTGGGGCAACTCTTAGGTGTGATTTACAGACCCACAGAGTGCAAGGTTTCTCTCCTCTCAGCTGGTGAGGAAGGATCCTTGCACCCAAGGAGAAGAACATGCAGAGCCCAGATTGAGGCTAGAACCCACAGCTTCCGGAACCTCAGTTCTGGAATAGCTGGAATGGAAGTCTTAAAAACCTCCACAGTATTTTTATTTTAAAAATAATTCAAATAGAGGAATTGGCACCAGGGAAGGGTGAGTATCTGCTATTTCATACCCTAGGGAAAGTGAGGGACTCAGTCTGTGTAATTTTCCCCACCTCCCATAGCTGCATTAGAGACAGATGTGGCAAGGTTATGACACTTTAACACATGTCCCCAGTCACACGAAGCACGTGATTGGGTGTCAGAACCCCGTCCACCTTCACTTGGCTGATTCATGGCCTCTGGTGTTAGGGTTCAGCTTTATCTCCCCAGTGCCCCTAAGAAACTCGAATCTGTTCCCAAACCTGCGTGGATACTCAGTGAGCACCACTTGCCTTCGTCAGAG